AGCATCTTGCACAGCCGGGACGAGAGGGTGGCCAATCGTGTGAGATGGTCGAAGTGGCCAACTTACCACCTGATCGACATGAGGAGGGCTTGGGTTACGACATGTATGAGCCTGGCTTTAAGGACGAGGCTCTGTGTGATCTCTCTGGAGTCCGTGCCGCTCTGCTTAGTGTGAAGTATCGCAAAACGGTGCCAAGCTGGAGCCTCCCCCTCGAGATCTTTCGGATGCTGCTCCACCCCGCCCGTCGAGATCGCAAGTACCGTGATCAGCAGCAGGCTTTTAGTGCGGATATCCCTTCCATGAGTTGGTTTGACAGACGTGTGAGGGGGATCTTGTGGGACGTCAGGGGCAGCTGTAAAGTACCCCTGGATTGGTTGAGGTCGTCAGGTTGCTGTCTCCCCAAGCCGACGGACAAAACGGGCATGAAGGCATTGCGACTCGTACATCGCACCTGCCCGTTCAGTAAGGCGTTCTCCAAGCATGTTGGTCGTCGCGGTGAGATCTGTTATTCGGATAAACTGTACCCCCCGTATCTGCATGGAGGCCTTCGGCATCGTAGGAGAGAGTCGGCAATCCGCATACAACTTATATCCAGTTGGCGATTGACACAGCTGAGGAAGTCACATTGCACCATATTCTATGACCAGGCCAACGCGTTTGGCAGTATAGCGGCTACCGCCTGTGATGGCACAGACTATCTACATCTAGATCCAAGGGATATTTTTCTTGGGCACGCATGCAATCACAATAGAATCATATCATTGGAATGCGTGGATGGGGAGGGACATTTTCGGGTGGGAGAAGGAGTTCTGCAAGGCCATCAAGCAGCACCCACTAAATACACGCGCACGTTCGATAGATGTGTACTCGCCCCGTGGATTGACCTCCAGCATGCCAAAGTTGACGGTCAGCACCTCATGTGTTCAGACCCCCTCGGAGAAGACCCAGAAGCACAGGTTGACATCAGCACGACGGTATTCATGGATGATATAGCTCACAAGTGCGTGTCTCGAACAGCGGATGGAATGGTCAAGGCTGTGAATGGCGCGAGCCAGGACTTAGATGAGTGCCTGTATACAGTAGGGGGTGCACAGAATACCAGCAAGCAAAATGTCGTTCCTCGATTTGTTGGAGTTGGAGCCCACACGCAGCCGAGACGCTTCACATCTGCACAATATACGCGTGATGTAGCCGGCCAGGTTTGTCAGCATGCACCATATCTTGGCATTCACTTTCATCATAATTCAACTACATCACAACAGAGGCTCGCAATCAAGAAGCATATGTATAGGGCCTGGTACTCCATGGGCAACTTTTGGTATCGTCCTCGAATTCCTCGGCATATCTTACTGATTGTGTTCCAGGCGAGGGTCCAGGGTGCGGCTTTGAGTGGCATGGAAGCTTTCATTCCCTTGGCGAGTGACTATGACATGATTGATGGGTTGTTGCTGATGTGGGGGAGGAAGCTTCTGAAGGGGGACGCTACGCTGAAACAAGCTCGGCCTGATGGGGGCATTAAATGCACGGCGTTGCAAACACGACAGGTGTGGGGGAGGCTGGGCTTGATTCCATCTCAACTGGAATTACGAATAAGACGGTTAACTTGGCTGCAGCAAATCACGCAACATCGGCAAGAAAATCAGCAATTTGTGGCGGCAATGTTTGGGCAACTTCCAGATGAGCAGATCCCGACAGTAACTGATTGGCAGCTTCATCGTGACTCCGATGGTAAGTTCCAAGGGAACCCCTGGGCTCTGCAGGCGGCGAATGACATTAGTTCGATTGTTCACCTCGAAAAAGGCAAAGAGCTGTTAGATGAGATGGAGGGCAAGGTTTTCAAGGTGTTCACCCCGCAGTTCAGCGCGAAGTTCCTGAAACTTAATGTCGCTAAACTACGTCAGCGTTTTTGGGAGGGAGTTATTGATGCTAGCACTACACGAACCTAGGGATGTACAAGATGAGCAGCTACCTGAACCGCCACCTGCACCTGTCTGGGTATGTAATGAAATTGTTGACGCTTCGCGTATCCCCACCAGCCCATCCAGAAACGATGCTCAGGGGAGTTGAGGTGATCAGGGAAGTCGGGGAGCATGCAGAATAACAAAGGGCGGGGGAAGCTGTCACAGACCCCGAGAGGGGGAGGATGGAAGAGGAGTCGTCGTCGTCGTCGTCGTCGGAGGAGGAGGAGGAGGAGGAGGGGGGAAGAGGAGGAGGAGGAGGAGGAGGAGGAGGACGGAGAAGGAGGAAGAATCGGAGGAGGAGGAGGAGGAGGGGAAGGAGCTTCTTGGGGGTCTTTTGAGGGCCTCTTGGAGGGCTTTTTGGGCGCCTTGGGGCATCTTGGGCGCCTCTTGGGACCCTCTTGAGGCGCTCTGGGGAGCCTTCGGGGCGCTTTTGGGGCCATCTTGGAGGGAGTCGATCAAACAAGAGGGGGGGTTTAATTAGCGCCCCCCCTCGGAAGCCCCTAAAATCGCCTCTTGGACCCCTCTTGGAACGCTCTTGGAGTGCTCTTGGGCGCTCTTGGGGCCGTCTTGGGGCTCTTTTGGGGCTCTCTTGGGGCCCTCTTGGGCCATCTTGGAGCCATCTCCAGGCCTCGGATAGCCATCGGAAGCGAAAAGGCGAGAAAGCAAAATCATTGATTTTCCTTAGGTTTTGGGACGATTTTGGCCTCTTCGGGGCCTCCTTGGGGAGCTGTTTGGCCACTTGGAGTTATCTTGGGGCCGTCTTTGGGCTTCTTGGAACCATCTTAGGAGCCATCGTGAGCGATCTTGCGCTATCTTGAGCCATCTTGGAGCTCATCTTGGGTTCTCTGAGGCGCTCTTGGAGCCGTCTTGGGCCATCTTGGACGCTCTAACTACCCGCGGCCCCCCCCGTCCAGGTCCAGGGGAGGGGGTAGGGGGAGGGGTAAACCCCTCCCCAAGGGGGAAGAGGGAGGGGTGGAAGAGGATCTGCTCTAGACCACCTACGCCCAGAGGGCTGGTGGGACTACTAGTAGTGGGGCAGTATGTGGACTCACGTTTGACTCACAAACTGCGTGGTACGCGCACATGCGCTTCACCCGAGAAGGCAGCCATGGTCATCGTGCATTGGGCCAGCTACTTACAATGACTAACCAATGCCCTTGGTGCATGAGTGTGCATGCCACGCGCGCTATATCCCAGCAGCATGTTCGGCGGCTATTCCTCAATCGTGCGTGCCATTGTGATCGCAGCCCTGTGCAGCATGAGGTAGTCCAGCCCTTATCGCTAGCCTGCCCGGCCTGCGGTCTGGAACACATTTCTCTCGAGCAACTCCAGAGGCATATCAGAACACACATTGAACTGCCGAGTACAGCTCAGTTCGTCTTCACTGCTGATGTCGTTGTGGGCGCTGGCAATCGACCAGGGCAAGCTAGCGGAGGCCAAGAAGCGGCTGGCGACGGACTCTCCCAAGATCTCCTTCGGCGGTGGCTCCAACGGCGAGCGCCCCCCGCCCCAGAAGAAGGGGCGACAGGGAGGCGACGCAGGTGCTGCGATGATGGCCGCGGACACCGACGAGTCCGATGGAGAGACGGCGACGGACCTGATCAAACTCCAGCTCAACACGGCTCAGCGCAACAGAGCGCTGGAGGGCTGTCTCTTATCGACGCAGCTTCTTCCTCAGGAGAATGAGCTGAACGCGGTGGCGATCACGACGATAGAGCAGTACATGGACGCAGTCAAGGCCAAGCCAGCGGATCACGGTCAGGGTCATCCAGGCCTCGTCTTGTGCATGACGATGCTCGAGGCGCTGGTAGGCAACGACTGGCTTCAGCAGCAGCAAGACGTTCAGAAGGAGCTGAAGGCCCTCACCGAGTTCGTGAATACGATCAGGACGCTGCCGATGGTGACGGCAGCAGAGTATCTCAAATATTGGAAGGTCAAGGAGGTATGGGCGGAGAAGGAGGTGGCCATCAAGAACCGCATGGTGCGCCACACCTACTTCGTCAACGCGTGGACGACGCTGGGGGGCGGCACCTTCATGGTGCCGATCAATGGCGTCATCACGGCGCTCTTCGTCAAGATGGGCAGCCAGGCCAAAATAGGACCGCCCCCCAGGACGACGCAGGAGAGGAAGGTGCAGGGCAGTCTGGAGCGGCTCCTCCGCAGCTCCAGGCATCGCAAGTCATGAGTAGTGAGCAGAGTGAGAGGGATGTGAGCACGCCGGGTGCAGCTAGCAATGTTGTGAGTCGTATTGCTGTAGGCCAGACTGTGCTCGAGCGCGGGCGCGTGAGGTTTCGGGGAACTTGGGAGCCTCCTGAACAGCCCGTCCAGAAGCGAGGAAGACGACGCAGGGGATAGGGCCCTGGCGTTGGTTCCCTAGTGGTTGGTCGCGCAGCCAGGTCATGCGGGCGCCCTGACTGACAGGCAGTCGGGCGATGACCACGTTACTTTGTTTGCCCTTCCTCCTCTTCTTCCCCCCTCCGCCTCCGTCCTCGTCCCTCTCCTCTTCCCCTTCCCCCTGAATGTGGTGACGTTAACCCGGCCGGCCAATTCAGTTCTGCTCGCCAGTGCTTTTTTGAGGTTTCGTGCCAATTACGTGCCCGAATGCTTCGTGCAGTTCTTTAGCCTGAATGAGTTTCGGTGGCGCCTACCCTCCTTCGTCCCTCTTGTCCTCCCTCCTCTCGGCCTTCCTTCTTCTGTGCCTCCTCCTCGTATGTGCCACCTTAGCTCTGCCTTGAGTTCGTGTTTGTTGTCTGATTTCGACCCGTCCACTCCAGCCATGCGTCCTGGAGAGGGAGCCACGGGGGATGGCGATTGTTTGACATCGGCGGGGACACAGTGATCCCACGCCGCCCATCGGTCGCCGCTGATCCGTCGAGCAGGATTCAGGACCAGTTGATGCTTCACCACCACCACCACCACCTCCTCCTCCTCCTTCCCCTCCTCCCCCTCCTCCCCCTCCTCCCCCCGAAAGCAGATCTGCCTCCCCCCTCCCTCCTCCCCCGAGGGGGGGCGGGGCGGGCGGCGCCCGGGCGCGGGCAGGCGGCGCGCAACTGCGCGCGGCCTTCGACGGCGCGGGCAGGCACCTGCGCGCGCAGTTCGCCTGCGCGCTGGGCCGCGCCATGGGCGCGCCCGGGGGGCCGCTGGAGACGCCGCCGCCGCCGCCGGGGGTCGGGAGCCTCAAGAGACGGGGGTCAATGCACACGGGGGTCAGCCAGGGCACCGGATCCGGCAGGATTCTGCAGGGCCAGGGGCGCAGTGACCCGGGTTTGGGTGCAGGGCCCTGGAGGATTTTGCAGGATCCTTCGCATCGACCCGGGTTTGGGTGCAGGATTTTGCAGGGTTCGGCAAGGCTTCAGCCAAAGTCGCGACGGGGAGGTGTCTCGATGTCTTCGATGTTTCTCTGTAGGTTTTTCGGTGGTTCGACGTTTCGAGGTTTTCGTGTGCCTTTCTAGGTATTCGGCCTTTGGGGGCTCTCCCGGACCTCGGTGCCGTCGAAAAGGGACTCGCGATGAAAAGGCGGTCCCAGTGGATGGGTCGAGAGTTGTGGGGGGCGATGCCATGGCAAAGTCGCAACCTCGGGGGTTCGGATCCTCCTCCTCCAGGGGGAGGGGGGCCAGGGGGATGATAGGCGGCGTCCAGGGGCCTCTGAGGATCTCAGGGGCAGAAGGGGGAGGAGGACTTGGAGGGAGGAGGAGGCGGAGTTGGAGGAACGACGACGAAGATGACGAGGCGAGAGGGAGGCGAGCAGCGGGTGACGGGGGCATCCAGAGGTCGTGAAGGCCTCCATAAAAAACCTGGGCCGACGGGTCCTCGCGGATTGATCGGGCTCGATGGGAGCGTCTCGTGCTGCAGGGTTTGTTTTGACCCGATCGATCCGATACGTTGTCGATTTCGGCGGGCTGGATCCGATTCAATTCCGACATTACGAGGATATGATGCGGCTCGAATGGCATTGTTGTGCATTTTGGCGAGGTCGACCCGATTCGACTGCGACGCCGTGTCAATGCGGCACGACTCGATGCGCGTTTCGACTTGATCCGATATTCCTGAGTCCATCTTGATCGTGGAGTCGAATGGTCCAGTCGTGGGTTGTATGTTCCCGTCACTTGTTGACACGAGGCCAGATGCTGAAATCGTCCTCCTCGAGGCGCACACCACGGGGTCTGCTCCAGCAGGGCTGACAATCCCCTTTGGCTGATCCAGGTTTGGGGGCCATTGTAAAGCCGTTCCCCCCCCACCACCCACCTCCTTCCGCTGGCCTGGGCTTGGGAGCTACTTTGAGGCCAGCCAGGGTTCGCGCCATGGGCTTGGCTACAGCTTGGCGCTGACCCGGGCCGCACCGCGTCCCCGACCTCCTCCCCCCGAGTGGAAAGGCAGCAGAGAGGGAAGGGCCAGGGCTGGCCAGGCGCCTGGCATCGCTCCGACGTGTGTATTTTTTCTCAGCGAGGACCCTCGAGGACCATCCTGCTCCATCGAGCAAAAAAAAACACGCACGAAACCGAGAAATGCACGGGAAATGGACGTCCGAGCGACGGCAAGGGCGAGGCTCATGAGCAGGCACGTGAGCAGGAGGAGAGAGAACTAACATTGCAGCAGGCCTTCTCCCCCGTGTGAGAGTGGAGTCGGCTGCGACGCCGTTCCCGCCGCGGCCGACTCCTGCGGAGGCGGGTGTGCTTCGTGCGGATGGGTTCGCAGCGTTGCGGCCATGGCGAGGCTGCTTCTCATGATCGTGCTGTTCGCACGTCAACGCCCACCAAACCTTAGTGGGCCCCAGAAACGGCAGGGCCGTTTGTTCACCGTTTCCGAGAAAGTGTCCCTTGAAAATGGAAACGGCAAAAAACGGCGACCGGAAACGGCAACAAAAACGGCTCCAGTATTGGAACCGGAGCCGGAACCAGTAAAGAAACGGCGACGGAACTGGTGAAAAAACGGCGTCGGAACCGGCAAGAAAACGGCAACACGGAACCGGTAAAAAACGGCCCTGCCGTTTCCAGGGCCCACTAAGCACCAAACCACCCCATCCCTACTCGAAGGCCTCAATGTGCCCTCCATTTCCAGTCGGGGAGGGGTAGAGAACCTCGAAGAAGCACATATATGGAACCCGTGCCCCCCCCCCAACCTGACATTCGGGTCTTCGGGTTGGGTTGGGGTGGTTTGCTAGGTAGCCAGCACAGGCATGCGATTGGCTACAGTCGAGGCGACGACGACGACGACGACGACGACGACGACGACGACGACGACGACGACGACGACGACGACGACGACGACGACTGCGTGGCGCGACGCCCGGGGCTCGGCAGGCCTCGAGCAGCGCGGCGCGAACAGCTCCAAGCCGCTGCGCGCCCCGTGGGCCAAGGTGCCGCGCCGGGGCAAGGGGGGAGGCCCGCGGTGCGGCGTCGAGGGCTGGTGCTCCCAGCTCGGCGTCACGTTTTACCCGCTTGGGCAAGGCAACCCTCCTCCTCCTCCTCCTCCTCCTCCTCCTCCTCCTTCTCCTCCTCCTCCTCCTCCTCTTCCTCCTTGTCCTCCTACTTCTCCTCCTCCTCCTCATCCACCTTGTCCTCCTCCTCCTCCTCCTCCTCCTCCTCCTCCTCCTCCTCATCACCTGTCCTCCTCCTCCTCCTCCTCCTCCTCCTCCTCCTCCTCCTCCTCCTCCTCCTCCTCCTCCTGGGATGCACTCAGGGGGGATCGCATCGAACTCCCAAGCCGCCTGCGCATCGTTGCTGGGGGCCCGATAGCCCACCCCACCCAGGGCCGTGCGGGTTCTCTATCGGATGCCTCCTATCGCCGATCTGTCGGCGACTTACCGTCGATTCCAGGTCGTTGATTTCCCCCGCCTGGGCTGATCTCCCCCCTCATGTCGCCCCTCAGACTCTGGGGGGGCGTCTAGGGCTGGGGATCGGGGTTGTCTGGACCTCCAGCGCATGGAGGACACGACGCAGTGCGGCGAGGAGGCGGAGAGTGTTGTGGGAGATCGGCCAAGGGTGCTGCGGGAGAGGGCGTAGCGAGTACGGTCAAACGCCATGGTGGAGACGCGGTGCTCCCCGCAGGGGCAGCCTTGCATCCTTGCCTCCCCAGCCAATCCTCGGTCAGTGTCGACATCCAAGGGCGTCCAACTTGGAAGCTCCGAGGGCCTTGTATCCTCCTTGCCTTGCGTCCTTCCCTTGCGTCCGTACTGTGGACTATGATTGATAATCCTTCAACAAGGGTTGGACAAAGAATGGGTGGCCCGCGAGTGCACGACCAGGCAGCTCGAAAACGGGGCGCCCAGTCTGGACGAGTGATCGTTCGGGTAACGCCCGGCTGTTCGCTGGAGAATGGGCGCCCCGCGAAGGAGCAGCACGAAGGGGGGAACTCCAGGGGTTCGAAGCGATGTGGGGGGAAATTGCATGGTTCCGAGTATAGAGGTGGGGAGTCCGCAAAATCTGCGCGGAGAGACGCGAGGCATTCCGGAGAGAGCCTCGCCCCTCAAGGATCGAGGGAGTTGCCATCTGTTCTTCGGCGGAAGGTGGCAGCAGGTGGCGGAAGGGGGGCCGAGGCCGGCGGAAGAACCTCGAGGGCGGCTCCGCCGGCGGAAGCCAGCGGAAGGCCAGCATACCGCTGGCGGAGGCTCCTCCGATCTTATCGGTAGCGCCGCGTTTCTTGCGGTAGGTTTCTTCCAGATTGCCCTCGCAAAATTTCCTTGGGAATGGGAGTAGCGTTTAAAAAAAAAGGAAGGCCAGCACACGCCGGCGGAGGAAAACATCAAGATAAGCCTCCAAGAGGTAGCCGCATTTGCGTGTTCAAATTTTCTGACCAAATTCGGATGCAATTCTTGGGAGGTAGAATTCGGATTTGCCCTGGTCCGAACTCCAGCTTCATCCAGCTTGATTCCGCTTCATCCGGCTCGATCGGGCTCAATCCCGATTCATCCGACTTGATCCCGCTTCATCCGAGGCCCCTTTTTCGGCGTAGCAGCCCCCCAATTTGGCAGAATCCTCCTCGATCCTTCCGACGAAGACCTCCCAGTAGTTGCCTCCTGGTGTGGAGAGCATCTTCCTCCCGCCCCCGTGCCGAGAGCAGCCTGGCTTCATTCGGCAGGGGCCTGCGGGGCCCGAACCATGCCTCCCCACTCCTTCGTCCGGTTCTCCGTCAGCCCCCCGCCTCGGGGAGCGTGTCGATCCGATTCGGCACCGATTCTGCATGGCTTGATCCTTAGAGTTGATTATCCACGGCCAAGAAGAGTTTGGTCAGGGGCGCGGGGCGCGGAGGCCGAACTTTTCTATCATTGTGAAAAGTTCACCATCGAGGTTAACCTTCTTATGTTGAGATAGCAACATCAAACGAAGCGAAGACGTTGTCGAGGATGTCTCAAGCGACCCCGACCCCGTCCTCTTAACATCATCTCTTTCTCCTCCCACATGCTGGCCTCCGGTAGGCAACCTTGAGAATACTCTCGCGACCCCGAACTTTATTATCCCTGTGGTATTCATCTCCGTGATGTTCGGTTATACGCAGCGCTGCCCTGACGAAGCTGTGAGTCATGGGGCGCCTCAGCTCCGTTGCGCCGATGCGCCGTCTAGGCGCCAGGCTCGCTTGCTTGCTTCCTTCTACAGGGGGAATATTTAAAAATAGTACAAACATACTCTTGGAACGATGCTTCTGATTATTTGTATTAAAGTATGCTTGACTTTCGCCCCAAATCCGCTTGTAGGGAGGCATGCCCGACCTGATGCTTGAATGGCGCTGTTGTGCACCATGGCGCGGCCGAGCTTATTCCGACCCCGTGACGATGCGGCCCGATCCGACCCACACTTCGATTCGATCCGATGTTGTCCGTTGCGATGCCGACTGATCCTGCACCTCCGTTCCTCCCAGCTCCCTTCTATCGGGGGAGGGCTAGTTTTTAGGCAATGGCTGCTCTCCCGCCCGCATCCGCTCGGAATCGGTCCTCGGACCCCATCCTGGGATCCAGCCCGACCTGCCTTCCGAGGCGGGTCCAGCCTTGGCGACGAGAGTCGCATGGCAATGGTTCAACAGAAATCAGGAGGGGAAGAAACACACAGACACAATTAATCGTCGATCCCCAGGAAAATATGGGAAAATATGGGAAGTGGTGGGGAAGACAAACAAACTCAGAGAATATGGGAAACTATGGGGAATAGTTTTATTTGTGTGTGTATTTATTTGTGTGCTTGTGGGCCCCTTCAAGAAATGTTGAGAGCTCCGCGCGGAGAGTTCTCGGACCTGCGCGTGCCCCCCCCCCCACCAGCGGCTGGCGCCGCCCTCGGTGGGGCCTCGCGCGCCGTGCCGAGCTCCGAACGTGTACCCGTCGGTCGTTGAGAGTACAGTGCCGTTTTTAATACATGCTCCGCGTGCGGATCATGTATCAAACATGCAGGGATTTGGGGGTAAAAACAACGACGAGCTCATGCATAGATTTATCCATAGCTTACTCATGTATTAAACCGTCATCAGAGTTTACACATCCCATGTATTTAAACAAAACTGCCCTGTAGGTGTAAATCTGGCGTGTCCCTTTACAGTAGGAATATTCAAACATTGTCCAGCAACAGTCAGGGAACGATGTTTGAGTATTTGTTTGACTATGCTTGAATTGTTGTTGGAGTAGTATTTACATTCCCCCCGAGAATTCGCCTGTAAGGGGACACGCCCGTCCTGAGTGGAGCTCCGAAAGTGCACCCGTCGGTCGTTGAACGTAGGCACTCCTGGACTCCCATATCCCAGCCTACGTCGGGCGTCTTCCTACTTCCGTCATCGCGTGTTGTGTCCTTCTCCTCCCTCTCGGGGGGGCCAGCGGAAGCCCAAGCTACCTCAGCGCCTTCCTACTTCGTGTTTCCACGGACTTCATCCGACCGACGGGTGTGTGTTACCCACAGGCCGGAAGGAGCAGGCAGGAGCGTGAAGTATAGGAGGGCGTGGACCGCAGACCCGGGCTCCTGCCCGCCCCCCCAGGAGAGGACGGAAGAGCGGAGGCGCTCGGTCCTTGGAGTGGGACATGCGCCGAAGAGCAGATTGGAAGTTGGGACTCCAAGAGCACTTACTCTCAAGGACCGACGGGTACGCATGGTGATGCTCCAACCTGCTTTAGCCTTGACCACCAGGAGGAATTTCGATCGGCGGCGAGCGAGGGGGGGAAGGGAGAAGGAGGAGAGACCTTCTGAGAAGGCGGCAGGACTTCTCAGAAGCCCTAGCGCCTTCTGAGAAGTCTGTTTGGTCTTCGGGAAAGGCTCAGAAAACTTCTCGCCGGGGGACTTGCGAACCTTCTGAGAAGGCCTTCTCCTTCTCACTTCCCCCCCTCGCTCGCCGCCGATTCGAGCACCAGAGAAATGCCCAACAACTCTAGAGCTTTCACGTGCCCATCAAAAGGTGGGGGGGTCACTGCCGGTTTGACCCCCCCCGCCCCCTCCAAAATCCGGGGGGGGTCACTACCGGTTCGAACCGCCCCCCCCCCCCCCCCCAGTGGTGGGGACGGTGGTGGTGGGGACAGTGGTGAGGGGACAGCGGGACAGTGGTGGGGACGGTAGTGGTGGGGACAGTGGTGAAGGCGGTGGTGAGGACAGTGGTGGGACAGTAGCACGGTGGGGAAAGTGGTGGGGACAGTGGGGACACTGGGGACGCTGGGACAGCACAGTGGGACAGCGGCGGGGACAGTGGGACAGTAGTCGGTACAGTGGGGACAGTGGGACAGTGGTGGGGACCGTGGGGAAAGTAGGGAGAGTGGGACCGTAATGGGGCAATGGTGGGTAGAGTGGGGACATTGACACACTGGTGAGGCACTGGTGGGGACAGCGGGGACAATGGCGGGAACAGTGGGGACAGTGGGACAGTGGTGGGGACGGTGGTGGTTGGGACAGTTGTGTGGGGACAGTGGGAATGCGGGACAGTGGGGATCGTCGGGCAGTGCTTGGGGCCGTGGAGAAAGTGGGGAGAGTGGAGCCGTGGTGGGAACAGTGGTGGGGACAGTGTGGACAGTGCGACAGTGGTGGGGGCACTTGTTGGGACAGTAGGGGCGGTGGTGGAACCAGTGGAGACAGTTGTGGTGAGGACAGTGGCGCTGGGAACAGCAGTGGGGGATGTGGTGCGGACGGTGGTAGGGACCGGGAGTCGTTTGATGGCGGTGAGGGGAGGGGGGGGAAGAGTTCGAACCGGTAGTGACCCCCCCCCCGGTTTTCGAGGGGGTGGGGGGGGTCGAACCGGTAGTGACCCCCCTGCAGCCATGGTTTTCGAGGGGGAGGGGTTGGGGGGGTACACCCCCCCGGTTTGGGGGGGTTCGAACCAGGTAGTGACCCCCCCGGTCTTCTGGAGGGGGGGAACCGGTAGTGACTTTCCTTGGTTTTCCTCGGTAGTGGTTTTCGGGGGGGGTTGAACGGTTTTCTGGAGGGGAGGGGAGGGGGGGGGGGGTAGGGGAGGGGGGGGTTGCCGGGGGAAGGGGAGGGGGGGGGTCCAGCAGGGGGGTGGGATTGATTTTCGCAGGGAGGGGGGGGGGGGCCAGGCTCCTCAGGAACGGGGGGGGAAATATTCCACAGTAAAGCGGCGGTGGATCACGCTCTCTCGAAATTCAAGAAAAATGAAGCGATAGTCTGGGGACAATGTTTCGTGTTTTTCCTTGGCTATATTCGATTTTTGTTTCGACTATGATTTGTGTTTGTTTTGTTGTTTGGTTGGAACAAATCTTTCAAAATCCGCCTGGAGGAGGACATGCCCGACCTGAGGCTTGGCCACGGCCGCCACCGGAGGGGGGGAGCCATCTGCGGGGGCTTCGGCAGGCGGTGGATGCGGACGTGCGGTCGGGCCCAGGGCTCGGGCGCGGCGAAGAACCGCCAGCGCCACCATCGGGCGCGGCGAAGAGGGGGGGTGATGGCTTGGGGGGGGGGAGATCCTGGCGGGGGCCATGCTATTTCCTCAGATGTCGTGGCGCCTCTTCTTATGTAATCGCTTCGCTCATTCCGCCGGCCCTGGAGCGCTATTTGGGGCCACTTGGGGCCGTCTTGGGGGCTTCTCGGGAGCGTCTTGGGGCTCCTTGGCGGCGTGTTGGGCTCCCCTGGGGCCTCTTGGGGGGCTCTTGGGGGCGGGGAGATCCTGGCGGGCGCCATGCTATTTCCTCAGATGTCGCGGCGCCTCTTCTGATTTTACTCGAGCCTGGCCCCCCCACCCTGGGCCGCGCAAGTGCCGCCGGCCATGATTCGCGCCCCCCCCTCTTGGACACGCCCCCCTCCTGCCCGCCCCCGACATTAGTCTAGGCCTCCTGGATGGGGTCGGAGTAGATGGGGTCGGAGGCGCCCCCCCCCTCTTGGACGCCCCCCTCATGCCCGCCCCCGACATTAGTCTAGGCCTCCTAGATGGGGTCGCAGTAGATGGGGTCGGAGGCGCCGCATCACCGATGCATCGGCGATGCCGATGCATCGACGATGCGGCTCGATGTTGAGCCCGATTCTCTCCATGCCGACGTCGCCGATGTATCGCCGACGTCGCCAGTGCATTGCCGATGCATCGCCGATGTACCGGCGATGCGGCGATCTCCTCAGACCCCATCTACTCGGACCCCATACAGGAGGCCTCGAATTAGGTTCATTTTTCTGGAGGGCCCCTCGAGGAAGAGCACACCGACCTCGGCAGGAACGCTTTCGCAGTGGTTGTGGTCGACTCGGCCGTCCTTGGAGGTCTACATCGACCACAAGCACTACCAAGCTAGTTTCGGTCCTCTGGCGACTGTTGGCATGATAAAGACACCCCGCACGGTGTCTTTTTCGATGTGGTGGTGGTCGCTTGCTGACCCCGCACTGGAGGGGGGCGAAACACATCCACGTGCCCCGAGATCCGGGCGCTGCAACCTTTTCCCAGCGGGCGTTTTCACCTTGGCTTCGGGCCCCAGGGCCCTCACAGGTTGATCCAGCTCGAACCGTGGAGCAGAAGGATGGGGTCCCGGGCTCCGGTGGTGTCGGAGGTGGACAGACCTCCTACCCTGACACGTCGATTAAGACATTGGCCGTTTTCGGCTCGCGAGAGGGCGTCGCGGCCGTCATTTTTGCGGGTCCAGGTCTGTCGGTTTCGGTCCCAGGCCGTTTTCACTAAGGGGATGTCTACTACAGGGAGGTTTGTCCACCGCCGGTGGTGGTTTTCTGCGGCGTGGCCGTGCTGTGGCACCATCGGGACGGAGGGCCCCTCGCCTGCCGAGGCCCCCGCAAGCGGATCCCGCCGGCGGTGGAGGAGCCCCAGCCTGGAGGAAGGAGGGCCCAGGAGGGGGGGGGGAGGAGGAGGAGGAGGAGGAGGAGGAGGAGGAGGAGGAGGAGGAGGAGGAGGAGGAGGAGGAGGGGAGGAGGAGGAGGAGGAGGAGGAGGAGGAGGAGGAGGAGAGGAGGAGGAGGGGAGGGGAGGAGGAGGAGGAGGAGGAGGAGGAGGAGGAGGAGGAGGAGGAGGAGGAGGAGGAGGAGGAGGAGGGGGGGAGGGGAGGGGGAGGGGGAGGGGGAGGGGGAGGGGGAGGGGGAGGGGGAGGGGGAGGGGGGGGGAGGCGGAGGGAGGAGGAGGAGGAGGAGGAGGAGGAGGAGAGGAGGAGGAGGAGGCGGAGGAGGAGGAGGAGGAGGAGGAGGAGGAGGAGGAGGAGGCGGAGGAGGCGGAGGAGGAGGAGGAGGGAGGGAGGAGGAGGAGGAGGAGGAGGCGGAGGCGGAGGCGGAGGCGGAGGGCGGGAGGCGGAGGAGGAGGAGGAGGAGGAGGAGGTGGAGGAGGAGGAGGAGGAGGCGGAGGCGGAGGCGGGGCGGAGGAGGGAGGAGGAGGAGGAGGAGGAGGAGGCGGAGGAGGAGGAGGAGGGGAGGAGGAGGAGGAGGAGGAGGAGGGGAGGAGGAGGGGGGGGGCGCCCGCCGCCGAGCGAGGTCATCTCCCAGTTCCCGGAGCTCGCGCAGCTGCGCGCGCTTTTCCTGCACGTGCGCCGGCGGATGTGGGAGGCCAGCGCTTCGGCCTCTCTCTCTCTCGGGCCGAACGAATCGGGGGGGGGACAAGGGAAGGGGGGGATAGGGGCGGGGGGGTGACGAACGAAAGGGGGGGGACGAAAGGGGGGGATAGGGAAGGGGGGGAAGTGGGGGATAGGGCAGGGGGGTCTCTCTCTCTCTCTCTCTCTCGGGCCGAAGGCCGAACGAAAGGGGGGGGATAGGGGAAGGGGGGGGACGACATCTGCTGCAGGCAGCTGGCTTCGGCGCCCCGCCGCTCTGGCCCATTCCTCGATGCGTGGGCGCCTCCCGGCGCCAGGGTTGCGCCTGGGAATTGCTATTCCGTCCTTTCGCCCGGCCCGACTCTCGAAGAAGAAATAGCGCAGTAAACATAAATTTCCGACGGTCCGCGCGGATTTCTTGGATCCGCGCTGGACGCCCCTGGCGGCGCCGCCAGCGACGCCCCTGGCGCGCTCCGCGCGCCAGGGAGGAGCGGCAGATCCAAGAAATCCATGCGGAGCGCCAACGGTGTATGTTTCTGCCGTTCTCTCTCCGTCTGCCCTCCGCTCCTCCTCCCGCCCTGCGCCCGGGGCGGGCGGACCACGGGCAACGCCCAGCGCCGCAGATCCAAGAAATCCGCGCGGAGCGCCAACGGTGTATGTTTACGCCGTTCTCTCTCCGTCTGCCCTCCGCTCCTCCTCCCGCCCTGCGCCCGGGGCGGGCAGACCACGGGCAACGCTTGGGGGGGGGCAGGGGCGCCTCGGCCCCCAACGTCGCCCACGCCGCGCCGACGCGGGCCGAGCGGCCCCGCTCCCGCGCCCAGGGGCCCCGCGGCTTCGCTGTCGGGCAGGCCTCTCGCCGGCCCGTCGGCGGCGCGTCGCCGACTCCAGGCCGAGGCCTCCCTCGCAAGCCGGGCCCCCCCCTAAAGCGACGCGAAGATCGGGACACAATCGGATCGGGATAACTCGAAATCTCTGAGAATCGGCGGGTTTGGAGGATGTAGTGGGCGCCGCGGACGCTCCAGGGCGTTCCGGAACGCTCTGAGAGCGCTCCGGAACGCTCTGGAGCGATTTATCCCGATCCTAGCCCTGTTTTACCCCCCTCTCGGTTGGGTGCAGCTGCGGGGGAGGCGCAGGGGCAGCGGCAGGGGGGACGCCTTCGCGGGCTCGAGGTGGGGGGTCCTCGCGTGCTCCCCTGGATGGGCTGGGTCTCCGCTGGCTCTCGTGGATTCACGTGTGCCCGATCCTCTGTTCTTTCCGGGGCAGCGATATGGGCGGGTAGGCTCCGGGGCAGTGTTGGTTCTTTCTATCTCTATTGGCATCGCTCGGACGTGTGCATTTTTCTTCGGCGAGAGCCATCGAGGACCATCCTGGACCATCGAGCATCAAAAACACGCACGAAACCGAAAAGTGCACGGAAAGTGGACGTCCGAGCGACGGCAAGCTCTGCGGTCTCCGGTTTTGGTTTCCGCTGGTTCTCGGCAGTTTTCCAGCCGCGGGGCGCTCTCCAGCAGCTGCGCTGCGCCGAGGGCGTTCCAGGGGCGCCTGGATCGTACCGAAGGGCCCCCGAGGGCCAGGGCATGGCTCCAAACGCAGACAAGGAGGATCACTGGGGGGGGGAAGGGCGCATGGGTGGGGCGCATCGACCCCGATCGCCCATGCATCGCCGGTAGGGGCCCGATAGCCCAGCCCGCCCAGGACCGCTCGGTGTGGGCGGCGCTCACGAGAGGGGGGGGGCGTTCGGCGCCATGGGGGGGCTCCTCTCGAGCCCGCCCGGCGCCTGAGGAGCTTTCTCAGAAGCCTCTGGGTTGGTGAGATTCTGATTTTGCCCTGGTCCGAAATCCAGCTTGATCCCGCTTAATCCGGCTTTGTACCGCTTAATCCGACTCAGTACCGCCTGATCCCGCTCAATCCGAGGCCCATTCCGGCGCAACAGCCCCCCAATGGGGCTCAATCCTCCTTCATCCTTCCGGCGAAGACCTCCCAGTAGCTGCCTCCTAGCCTCTGGGGGCCTTCCACAAGGCGGCCTGCAGCATGCGTGTGGCGTGGTCGCCGCGGCGGCGGCCCCGGCGCGGGCGGTCGAGGGTTGATCGCCGCCAGCGGCCTGGAGTCGGCCCATGTCGAACGGGTCCCGCTTGTCAGGAATCCTCGGGGGCGGCGAAGAGGGGGGTGATGACTAGGTGGGCGGGGGAGATCATGGCAGGGGCCATGATAGTTCCTCAGATTTCAGGGTGCCTCTGCTTGTTTCATTGCGTTCCCTGGCCCACAACTGGGCCGCGCACGTGCCGCTGGCCAGGCCATGATTTGCGCCCCTCCCCCCCCCCTCCCCCTTGGACGCCCACCTCTTGGCCGACCCCGAAATCCACGATCGTTCGAGGCTGAACGATCCACGCGGTGTCAGGAATATCAGCGTGCAAGGCATCATGACACGAGCCCGCGGCGGAGGCTGGCTGGCGCGCGGGCAGCTCGCCCCGCGCGGCCCCCCGAGAGGGCCGAGCTGTGGCCCCCGAAAGCCGGCGGGCAGCGGCAGGGGGGGGGAGGAGGCGTCGGCCCCCCCGGCGCGCACGCGGCGCCACGGGCGGGGCACGGGCCCTCCGCCCTGGCACGGGGACGGTGGCGGCTCGGCGGTCCCTCCCTGTCCTCCCCTCCCCTCGCGCCCCCCCCCTCCTCCTCCTCCTCCTCCTCCTCCTCCGCCTCCTCCTCCGCCTCCTCCTCCTCCTCCTCCTCCTCCTCCTCCTCCTCCTCCTCCTCCTCCCCCTCCTCCTCCTCCTCCTCCTCCTCGATGCTCCTCGATGCTTCTCGATGGCCCTCGGCGACCGAACGCCACCCCCACGGCTGACCCGACGCCCGGGCCTGGCGCTTCGCAGGTGGCAGCCGCCGCTGGCCGTCGCGCTGATAAGACTATACGGGCGAATCACGTGCCACTGGCATGCCGACAGAGGCAATGCCACGGGCTATATTGCCCAGCACGCCCACCCCTTTTTTTCGCCCTCCGCCACGGAAGGCGCGGCTTCGCGATCGGGGTTGCTGCTGATCCGTCGACGATGCACCGCCGATGCTCCAGGTCGAGGTGACCCCCCCTGAGCCAGTCTGAAGTCGGGCGTGTCCCTCTACCAGGGAATCTACAGGCATAGTCAAACAACGTGCCAGAGGATTTGTTTCATGATGTTTCGATCATGTTTGCATCAGTTTGACTATATTTGTTCGTTCGCCCAACATCCGCCTGTAGAAGGACATGCCCGACCTAAAGCCAGTCCCCCCTGCCCCTCCCCCCTCAGCGACGGGTCCAGGACCCCCGGACTTCCACAGCACCAGTCTCGGAAGGAGAGGAAGCGGCACCAACACCACCAGGGGGCCCACCTCCAGCGAGGAGGTTCACAATGCCTCTTCGAGCTGGAGGCTGGGGATGTCTCGAGCGAGAGGGGAGACCACACCACCAGGGAGACCTCTTTCGCCTCCTCGCATCTCCTCGCCCTGGTGTTAAGTCGGGCGTGTCCCTTTATAGGAGGAATAGTCAATCAAAGTTAGCAAGTAGTATCGGGGACGATTGTTTCACAATTTGTAACAAGTATGTTAGAACATATTGTTATTAGTTTTCGTCCAGAATCCGCCTGTAGGGGGACATGCCCGACCTAACCCTGGTGGTGTTCGTGTCGCACTTCCTTGTTCCTACAGTCCCAGGGCTCGCGGGGGGCCCGAACACGGCGAAACAAACTCCTTGGGCCCCGAGGCAGGCTGGGAATGATTTGGCCGCCCGTGACGCGGGCCGCTCTGTGCAGCCACTGCAGCGCTGCAGCGCGAGCCAACGCCTTGCGGCCAAGAGTCGCGGCGCCATACAGTCAGCCCGCATAGTAAGGATGGGCAACCTCCCCAAGGGCATCCGCTGGCCGCGCCCCGCTTGCAAAGTGTCGGCATGGCCTTTGCAAGGCCCTTGCATCATCCGTGCCGCGCACCCTTACGATACCGGTCGACTGTAAGCTCTACTTTTGATGCCCGTCGGCCGGATCTGCGGAGCCATCAGAGCAACCCACAGCCACAAACGATCAGAGCAATCAGAGCAAGCACTCAAGCAAATTCAGATAAGAACAGCGATCAGGGCAACCAGCGAAACCAGCGATCAGGTCAGTGCGATCAGGTCAGGTTGATAAGGCGAAGGGGCGCTCGCTGTCGCGGTCGCAGCGCTCTCGCTTCGGACGGGCGCTCCCTTGCCCCCCTTGCGTCCTCATCTGCCCCTCCTCTGCCACATCATCCTCCTCTTCTGCTCGTCCCCCCCTTCCTTGGGGAGGATGCGGAATGGAGGGAGGAGGAGAGATTCGGCTTCCCTATTCTCCTCGCTCATCACTCCTCCTCCTCCTCCGCCCCATCTAGCCCCGCTCCCTCCTCCGCCTTATCCCCCCTCCCTCATCCCTCCCTCTTCTCCCCCTTTCCCCCCCGTCCCCATACCTCCCCACCTGGCTCGCGCGTGGACGGTTTCCTATTGGGGTCCGAGCAGATGGGGTCGGAGGATCGCCCCGCATCGAGGAGGGATGCCTCGGCGAAGCGGCTCAATGTTGAACCCGATGTCATCCAAGCTAGCGACGCTGATGCATCGCCGACTCGGGAGCCTTGAGACGGGGGTCAATGCAAACGGGGGTCAGCCAGGGCACCAGATCCTGCAGGATCCTGCGAAGACCCCCTTTGGCTGACCCGGGTTAGCGAGCCGCTCGTGACCGCGAGGCGGCCGCGCATATTGGCTGATCCGGGTTTGCGAAGATCTGGGCTGCAGTTTTTTTTTCCTGCATTGCAGCTTTTGGTTCCCCGCTGACCCGGGTCTGGATGGACCCGGGTCAGAAGATCCCCGACCGACGTCGCCGATGCATCGAGGATGTCTTGACGATGCGGCGGGATCTTCCGACCCCATCTACTCCAGCCCCATGTGGCGGGCCTCTTCCTGGGGGTCCTGCAGAGGGGAGCCCTCGGGGCCTCGAGAGCCGGTCTTCTGAAACCAGAAAGGGGAGAGAACTTGGCATCGCTCGGACGTGTGCGTTTTTTCCTCGGCGAGGACCATCGAGGAGCATCCTTGATCATTTGGCGAAAAAACCACGCACGAAACCGAAAAAGGCACAGGAAATGGACGTCCGAGCGATGGCCAGGTTGTGTCTGCTCCCATGACGGACTGGGAGAGGGGGGGGGGGGGAAGCCCTCCGGGGCCTCGCGGGGCCCCGGGGGGGGTCTCGAGGGGGGCCTCGGGGGGGCCGGGCCGAGGCCACGCAGGCAGGGACCCGGTCGCGCAGGCTAATGACGGGCCCCTTTCCCATTCGGAGTCGCCGCGCTCCGCGGCCGGGTCAGGAGGCACGGGCGCCGCGCCAGATCCACGGATCCGTAATCCATGTTTCGGCCAAGGGCGGACTCGCATTGTTAGAGGCACCTCGTCCTTAGGACCCAATCCCTCAGGACCCCATCTTTGAACCACCGAATGTTAGGGCGTGCCCAATATCGGGTATAGCCAGGACCCCGGGTAAGGGGACCCGGTTAGTGGTAGGGCCCTGGGGCCTTTCAATTGGCCAGATTCACTAAACCAGGCTTGCCGTAATTGGTGTTTTTCGGGTGACGGCAGTTCCGTTTAGTGGAAATGGGACGGGTGGGCGCCCCTGGTACAAATCACTAAACCAGGATCCACTAAACCCAGTTCTGCCAACGCCCGGGGGTGGTGTTCATCGACAGCATGCCGACGATCACGGTCCAGACAGGCGACGCGTTCGAGTCCAAGAGCCGCCTGTTGTGGAACTACTAGTAAATATGCTCCTCTCCGCCTCATCATATACTTGCCTCTCCTGCTGCCTGCCTTGTCATACCTTGACATTCGTATTACTGTATACCGCAGCTACTTTTGCTGCTCGAGTGAGAAAAGGAGCGCGCCGCTGACAATAGCCTCCTGGTCGAGGGAGCACGCGCAGGAGCGCCGGGCCCGACCGGACCAGTCCTCGCGCAGGCCACGGCCGCGAGAGCGACACCGCCGGCAGCCAGCACCCACGCTGGCGGGGCCCTTTTGGAGGCGCGTGCCCGGCCGAGGGGGCCCTCGGCGGCCGGGTGCGACCCCTCCCCAGGTCGATCCGATGGGTTCAAGCAGTGGCGAAGCGTCCTGGCTCGACTATAGTCGTACCAAACAATGTTCTAAGAACCTTTTGTGGTGTCCACGGAATGTTCTTAGAACATTTCTGGCGGAGATTGTCTTGTTTTAACACATGGGGTTTATGTTCTAGGAACATTGTTTTTGTTATTCGAACATTGTGGGGTTCTAAGAACATTTCGTGGTAGGACTATAGGAATGCCGGGACGGTCGGTCCCTTCTCAATGGGTGCGATTCGAAATCGACTTCGGCCGGCCCGATTCGATTCGCTGCCGATGTTCAGACGATCCGATGCGGCCCGCTGCTTGCGTGGCGTTGTTGTGCATCCTGGCGCCGCCGGTTCGATTCCTGTGCCGATGCCGCCCGAGTCGATGCACGCCGCGATGCGATCCGACTTCCCCATTCGGTGTCGAGTGTTGGAAGCGGCCAGGGGGTCCGAACTGGTTGGGGCCCTAGGAAATCTGCCCAGAGGAGGGGATGGGGGGAAATCCCTTCAAAATCGGTCCCTGGACCCCTCCAGGGGTCTATCTGCTGTAACGTTTCACCACGGATCCGTTGTTGACGGTCCAGGGCCTGAAAACAGCCTTCGCAAGCCCAGAAAAGTAGAACTTTTTCTCGAAGCCAGAACGTCGCACCTCGCCCCCTTCGTTCTGCTCGCTAGAACCAGTGCTGGGCCACCTCAGCACTCAAGTCAGATCCGCGCGGATGTCTCGGATCGGCGCTGGACCCCTCCTTGGCGCACGGAGCCCACCAGGAGCGGCGCCGGAGGCGCCGCCAGGAGGCCTCAGCGCCGATCCGAGGAATGCGCGCGGAGCTCCGAGTTGGTATGTTTATGTGCCGCTGTTTCTCCTCCCCGTTCCAGCTTGTTTGCCTGCCTGCTGCCTCCCTCTTTGCTGCCTCTCCTCCCCCATCGAAACCCGCATCTGGCAGGCCGTGCGGACAGGTAAGCCTAAGCCCCTCGTTGAGCCTGGTACGTCATTATTGGTGCCGCCGACCCGGCAAGGAGGGGGGAGCGGCGACGGGCACAGGGAAAGGAGAGCGCAAGGAAAAAGGGCGACAGCGACGACGATTCACGAATGGACGGCGACGACGACACGAACGGAGAAGCCCCTCACGCACGCCGACAGGTCGGCGAATTTGGAGACATCTGGACGAAATCTGAACCACATTTGATCGAAAGGGTGAGGAGGGGTGGTCCAAATCTGGCCGAAGTCTGGACGAAACCTCGCTTCCGAACGGAATCTCGGGAGGGAATCGGAACGGCATCTGGCCGAAATTTTTGGCCGACATTTAATCTCCAAGATTTAGCCCCCTGTTTTGTTCCCCAGTGTTGCTCCTGCCTCCCTCGCCGGTGTCTCTGGCGGGGCTCACGGCCCCCCCCCCTCTCCCCTCCGGCCGCCGCGCGCGCCGCGGCCGCACCCTTCTGCGGCGCGGCGGCTGCGACCGCGGCCGCGGCGCGCGCGTCCGCCCGCCGTGGAGGACGCGCGCGACACGCGGGAGCGCTCCCGGAGCCCGGAGGCGGAGCGGAAGAGGCAGAAGGGGGAGAAGCAGGCGCCCGCAGCGCCTCTCGCTCCTCTCGGTGCTGCTCTTCCCTCCTCCTCCTCCTCCTCCTCCTCCTCCTCCTCATCCCCCTCCTCCTCCCGCCTCCCCTCCTCCCCTCCTCCTCCCCTCCTCCTCCTCCTCCTCCTCGCTCCTCCTCCTCCTCCTCCTCCTCCTCCTCCTCCTCCTCCTGAGGCACTGAGGCACTGATGGTCTGAGAGTCTGCTGGTCCTGGGCGGGTGGGCAGAGGAAAGCCTGCCAGGAAGAAGTCTCCTCGTGCAGGGCCCTCCCCCGCGCCCCCACCCCCTGGAGCTCTGGCGGTCTGGCTTCTATAGATCGGGGGTGGGCAGACCTCCTACCCGTGACACGTCGATTAGTGAATTGTCCGTTTTCGGTTCTCGAGAGGGCGCCGCGGCCGTCATTTTCCAGGCTTGCGCCCGCCAGGTTTGGGCCCGAGGTCGTTTTCACGAAACCGTGGTTTGCTAAAGGGAGGTCCGTCCATCCCCGAATAGAGCCGTCGCAGCAGCAGGGTCGTCTCCGAGCCTTGCCCGGGCCGTGGCGTCTTGCCGCTGTATAGGCAGCCGCAAGGAAGCCCCTCCCGGGCCGTGGCCCCTCGCCGCCAGAGGCAGCCGGGGGAGGGGCGGGCGGCCCGGAGGTGTTCGCACTGGATGTGGCCTCCACTGCCTCCTCCTCCCCCTCCTCCTCCTCCGCCTCTTCCTCCTCTTCCTCCTTCTCCTCCTCCTCCTCCCCCTCCTCCTCCACTGCCTCCTCCTCCCCCTCCTCCTCCTCCTCCGCCTCTTCTTCCTCCTCCTCCTCCTCCTCCTCCTCCTCCTCCTCCTGGCTGCGCGCGTGTACCGCCGCCACAAGCCGAGATGTGACAGGATCTAGACACCAGCTCACGTTCTGCAGGAGTGCCAGCTCGAATCGAAAGCCACTGCACAAAGAGATCCTTGAGATTGTCGTCTGCTTGAATCGTCGAGGATGCCCTCCCTTCCAGGAGCGCTCACTCTCTGTAAGAGTGCCAGCTCGAGTCGAAAGCCACTGCACAAAGAGATCCTTGAGATTGTTGTTTGCTCGAATCGTCGAGGAGCGCCCCCTGTTCTAAAGCGGGGGAGGCAGAGGGGGGAGAAGCAGGCGGCCCAAGGATTTTTGCCGCGGGAGCGCCTGAGTCTCTCACAGGGTCGGAGTCCACCAGCAATGTGGCCCCACTATTTCTTTCGAGTGCGGTCTGGTGCGCACAGATCGGGGGTGGACAGACCTCCTACACTGACACGTCGATTAGTGAATTGGCCGTGTTCGGTTCTCGAGAGGGCGCCGCGGCCGTCATTTTTGCGGGTCCAGGTCCGTCGGTTTCGGTCCCAGGCCGTTTTCACTAAGGGGAGGTTTACTAAAGGGAGGTTTGTTTATCGCCGAACACAGTCGGACGGAGCTAGGGCAAGGCTTAATCCGTTCCAGAGCGTTCCGCAGCGCTCTCAGAGCCTTCCAGAACGCTCTGAGGAGGCCGCGGCGCCCGAGGCATCCTCCAGAGCCGCTCGACCTCAGAGATTCTGACTTTATCCTGCCCCGATTGTATTTATCATCGTCGTGGCCTCGTCTCACAGGTTCGCATGCAGATCCCCGGAGGTCAAATTCTAATTTAGCCCTGGCTCGAAATCCGTTTCAATCCCGATTAATCCCGCTCAATCCAGCTTAATCTCGCTGAATCCCGCTTCATCTGGCTGACTCCCGCTTAATCCGAGGCCCACTCCGGCGTAACAGCCCCCCAGCGGGGTTCCATCCTCCTTAATCCTTCCGACGAAGACTTCCCAGTAGTTGCCTCCTAACGCAGAGTGGAGCTCTCGAGGTGCTCGAGACATCCTGCAGAGCCGCTCGATCTCAGAGATTCTGGATTTATCCTGCCCCGATTGTATCACAGTCGGGGCCCTGAGGAAGGAACCCTTTTCGTTGGGGAGGGGCTCGGTGTTCCTTAAGTGTTTCACAGCTTGCCTCAGGTTTTCCTTGTGTTTTCGATCGCAAATCGAAGGTTAAATTATGGAATCAAGGGGCCTCCTTCCTTATTTAGGGTTCCTTTGGTCAGGGCCCCGACTGTAATCCTCGGCCTGGCCTCGTCTCACCGACCGGAGCTCTCGAGGTGTGCTCGCTCCCTGGGAGGAGCACGCACGGCGGGCCTCGTGGCGCCGCCGTGCCGTCGCTCACTCCCCGCCGCCGCCTCCTCGTCGCCCCTCCCGGGGGGTGGCCGGCGGACCTGGCTGCTCTCCGCCCTCCGGGGGGTCCCACGGCCGCGTTGCGTTCGCACCATGCCCTGCAGGTAATCAGGAGGGGAAAGAACACACAGACACCATGAATCGTCGATCCCCAGGAGAATATAGGAAAATATGGGAAGTGGGGGGGAAGGCAGAAACCCAGAAAGCATGGGAAAATAGGGGGAATCTTCTTATTTGTTTGTATTTATTTGTGTGTCCT